AAATTTTAAAAAAAATTATAAAAGCTCGAAAAACAGTTAAAAAATATAAACCATTTATTTCAAGAAACAATAAAAACCAAATAAATAATTTTTTAATAGTACATGATACGTAACAGTTAAATAATACCGAATTAACTTAGCAAATAAATAATCTTGAACGTAACACTATTCTTTAATTTGCCAATGCTTTTGCTCCTTCACTCCTGATTCTATTATTGCCAATAATATTAGACGTAACGCTATTTTAACCTCTTATAAAGCTCGCATATTCATACTTTCAATATCTAATATCACTAATCTATTTTACTGGCAGTACTTAAAAAAATAAAAATAAGTTATAAATAAAATAGATTAGCATTGTAAACCTTTTGAAATGACTTAAATTTACAAAGTCTAATACATTGCAGACTATATTGGTTAAATTGAAACGTCTAAATATACCTCTCATTTAACTTCCGAATTACCTCGTCAATTACCAAATTACTTTGGTATATTATAGAACTGAAGATATAGTTTCTAAATTTTTATATCGTAACCTTCCTGAATTTGTACTTGTAGTCCCGAAATCATTTTTGTGCACTCTTGTGACAAAAAATCATTTAAAGCTGGCTTGAACTCTTGAGTGAGCTTTTGAATCTTGTTCGCTGCTGTTCTAACTTTATCTGAATTACTGAAGATAGTTTCAAATTCAATAATGAAACTATCGAAGTTGAAAAGTAGGTTGAACTGTTTTTCAAGAAGTGGTACAAACCATGCAAGAGTGAGTTCTAAAAAAAGGCTTCCAAGCAACTTTACTTAAGTTTGATTATCTGATACCTATTGAGCTACATATGAATAATAAGACAAACTTGATTAAAAAATCCTCTGAATTTATTTCGGGTTCTATTAAATTTATCTAGAAAACTAACTTTGGGCTCTTTTTGCTGAATAATAGCTCTAGCTTGCATTTGGAGTTGGTTTAGTTTGTCTTAGATACTGGCATTCTCTTGCTGCAGGGCTTGATTTTCTATAAATTTAATGCAATACTGCTAGAATACTTTGAAGATCAGGTTGGTTGCTTATTTGTTTATGCTTTGTATATACTTTATATTAAGGTATATGTATTTTATGTAGTAGTTCTTTTCTTTCGTCTATTACTTTTATTAACCTTGCCTTTTCTATTTTTAGGTACCTCCACATCATGGTCCCAATAC